TTCATCAGCTTTAAAAACTGGCCGGAAGAGATGAATGATGATTTAGGTACAATATGCACAAAAATGTGAATCAGTATTGTAATATTTCTTTTAGTTATGTTTAACATTACATTTTGATTAGAGAAAAAACAACTTAGAGAAAAAACTTCTTTTTATTTACCTTTTTTTAATATTTAATTATCAGTTACATGTTTTAATTTCATAAGTTTGTTATCAAGGTCATTTAGCACTGAATTCATATGTTTCACATTTATTTAGCAAAAAAAAAATAATTTGTTTACCATTCTGTTCTTAGTAGCTGACTGCCCAATGAAATTATTAAATTTTCATGTAATCCATATTTATTCTAGCTGACTTTGGAGATGCTGATATAGCAGATTTAGTAACTGTATGCAGACCTGCTTTAAGTTTATGTGTGGAACAAGATGGTATGGACAGCGAAGAAATAGAGCCAGAGTGGACACGATTTTAGGCAGATGTGTACAACAGGTATCACTTCATTTCTATTTATATCATGAACTAGGCTAGCACTAGATGGATTTTATGGTATTTATCATATGTGTATATGCGATAAAACCTCACCTTTTAGTTTTTTCAGAATACTTAAGCAATTTATATTTAAAAATCTATTCATAAACATGTCATTTTCAACAAAATATTTATGATGCATTTATTATTTCATCAGTCAATGATATCAGTATAGCTTTTCTGCTTTTTCTTTAGCAAGAAGAACATGATAAGATCTCTGTCATGGTCAACATTGTGGGGGTCTTCATCTGATAAGTATCCAAATTTATTTGGACTAGTCAGTTACCTGCTATCTTTGCCATCCAGTTCAGTTGATGTAGAAAGAGGCTTTTCTAGGTAATTTAGTTAAATATTTCATTGTTCATAGGTAGATATTAATGATAATCTTAAGACATTAACAGTGTGTCTGTCTTGCTGAATAATTGCAAACTCCTGATAGTGATATATCCATTTTTATCTGTAAAAATTTAAATATAATTAAAACATTCATTTAGGCCTAAAAAAAAAAATGTTGTGTTTCCGGTGGCCCGACCGACCCTATTTTTTAGCGCCGACCCAGTTTTTTATCGATGTACAAAAAAAAAAAATGGCGCCCATACCGACCGTACCGAAGACGGGTTTATAGTATTGCGAGTCGACAACGATTTAAGGCACAGACGATTCGGGTTCCAATTACGTATTAACGCGCACCGGCTAATATGGCGGCACAACAAGCAGCCGAAGTGTCACTGCTGGCGATTTTCTTTAAAAATACGACCATAGTTTGGCAAAACAGGAAATCAAATTAATAGACCACAGCAAAACAGCTCAAAACATTTTTCGGACGTGCATGGTCATGTTAAGAGTGATAATATTAAAATTGAAGCCAGTTGTTCGGAAAGAATAAAAAAAATGAAAACGAAAGTCGAGTCATGCCATTGGTAAAATTTATTTCAAAATAAAATATTGAAGACTAGGTGTGGTAGTCTAACATTTTAAGTACTTTTATATGCTATAGAATATAATTTAAAGTACATATAATCCGTATCTGACATATCTACAATCGTTGATTGACTAAAAAAAAAAAAAAAAAAAAAAAAAAGTCCGACCTACCGACCCTACTTTTTTTTCGCCTCGCCACCAGAAACACATCAATTTTTTTTTTAGGCCTTAAGTTTATCTTTAAACAAGGAATATAGATTATACATAACAACATCAGAAATGATCAGTACATGTACTAGTAGTATTAGCATGACAATGCAATAACACTTGGATGAATACACATTACATGTATATTATTAAAGTAGAATTGATATATTAAAAAAATGATTGACTTCTAGGATGAAGATTCTGAAATCAGATTGGCGGTCATGTCTGTCAGATAGGCGCCTTACTGATCAACTTCTGATATCCACAGAAGGAGAAGCAATAGGGGACTTTGATCCTGATGCAGCTGTGGCCCACTGGGAGTCTTGTGGTACAAGGCAGAGAAGGCCATTCTACAATGACTCTTTCAAGCCAAAGGTACTTTGATATTGGAATATGTTGTTTGCTAGCTTAATAATATCTCCTAAAAGCAAAATTCTCTCTTAGAAATGTAATTGTAATTTTAAATATTAACAGTTCTATTCTAACATTAACAATTGTATCTGGAACTGGTCTCCAGTTTTTATGTTAGACATTTAGTATTTGAATTGTGTTTCAGAATGCTTCAAGTTCATCTCATGTTGATTCTCAATCTGTGGAGAATGTTGGTGTTAACTACGAACAGCTAGTTGATGACTTGTCCACTTGCGATGTGGATAATGATGATGAATTTGAACAAGAGGCCAGCCGGGACATGCATCTTTTGCAAAACAAAGCATATAGACTGTTACTTGATCTCATATAATTTATGTACTTTGATTCTGTCAATAAATTTGAAGAGATCTGCTGCTATTGTTTTCTTACCTTGATAAATACACTCAAAATGCATTGAAATAGAATGAGAAACAATTTTTTATTTTTTACAATGAGGACTACCTCAATTTGCCAAGGACTACCTGATCCTAAAAGTAGGTAGTCCTTCTGACTACCTCTAAAAAAAGTAAGTGTCTAGCCCTGTCTAGGAGGGATTTTAAGGTCTTTTGTGCCTCCCTAGCAGTTGTAAGTGCACCTGAGCAGTCCTTAGCGGTCCGGCAACTCATAGAAAGCATAAATTCTATCACCAAAATTATATTTTTTCTTAAAATTATACATTTTTTGTCACTAAACATACTACCATGTATTATAAGAATGCCCTAACAGGTATTTTAAGGCCCTTTGTGCCTCCCTAGGAAATATTTTAAGGTCTTTTGTGCCTCCCTAGCAGTCCTTTGCGCACCTGAGCAGTCCTTAGCGGTCCTGCAACTCATCGAAAGCATAAATTCTATCACAAAAATTATATTTTTTCTTACAATAATACATTTTTGTCTATTAACTTACTACCATATATTATAAGAATGTTCTAGGAGGGATTTTAAGGTCCTTTGTGCCTCCCTAGCAGTTGTTAGTGCACCTGAGCAGTCCTTAGCGGTCCGGCAACTCATCGAAAGCATAAATTCTATCACCAAAATTATATTTTTTCTTAAAATTATACATTTTTTGTCACTAAACATACTACCATGTATTATAAGAATGCCCTAACAGGTATTTTAAGGTCCTTTGTGCCTCCCTAGGAAATATTTTAAGGTCTTTTGTGCCTCCCTAGCAGTCCTTTGCGCACCTGAGCAGTCCTTAGCGGTCCTGCAACTCATCGAAAGCATAAATTCTATCACAAAAATTATATTTTTTCTTACAATAATACATTTTTGTCTATTAACTTACTACCATATATTATAAGAATGTTCTAGGAGGGATTTTAAGGTCCTTTGTGCCTCCCTAGCAGTTGTTAGTGCACCTGAGCAGTCCTTAGCGGTCCGGCAACTCTTCAAAAACATAAATTTTACCACTAAAATGATATTTTTTCTTAAAATAATACATTTTTTGTCACTAAACATACTACCTTGTATTATAAGAATGCCCTAGGAGGTATTTTAAGGTCCTTTGTGCCTCCCTAGCAGTCTTTTGTATATCTGAGCAGTCCTTAGCGGTCCGGCAAATCATAAAATTTGCACCAAAATAATATTTTTTCTTAAAATTATAATTTTTTTTTCACTAAACATACTACCATGTATTATAAGAATGCCCTAGGAGGTATTTTAAGGTCCTTTGTGCCTCCCTAGTAGTCCTTTGTGGCTCCTTAGCAGTCCTTAGCTGTCCTTAGCAGTGTTTAGTAGGACCCTTACTGATTATACATATGTATCTTACTACCTCTTAAAACTATTGATGAACTGATATTCATAACTTTAAATAGATATCAAAGAAACATTTAGGAATTGACAAATTCACAAATTCGAAAACCTAGCTAAACGCCGTTTTCCGGTACTTTCTGTACATAGCTCTGGGGAATTCACCTAATGGAGTGTAATAGCGAACTCGATGTTTTCGGCCTTTTTTAAAATTAAATTGAAATAAAACAGTTATTTCTTTATAAGAAAATAATTAAATATCATTGTATGAATAATTCCATACAAAAAATAAAGTAAATACACAAGTTTACGCCGAAAATAACCTTATTTATTATGGAAGATTCCACTACGTCGGTTTAAATTTTATTGATTTTCATTTTAAACAACTTATTTTTTTGAAAAATTTGCAATAGATATTAAAGGAATATTGAATTGATAATTTTCAATAACATCAATTCTTTTCACCTTAAACGGTAAAATAATGAAAGAAAAATAGAAATATCATGTAACTGTGTTATGTTCTTCATTTGGTGTAATTCCCCAGAGCTAAATCGGTAACGTACCGGAAAACGGTGTTTAGCTAGGTTTTCGAAAAGGTCAATTATACATCAATAATCCCAATTTCCAATGTATAATTTACAGTATAGTAATGTGTATAAAAAATATTAATCAGACTTTACTTTTCTGCTATTATTGACAGAATTTCAAGTTCTTGTGTTTCAAGACAAATTTGGCTGGAGCAGAATAAAATGACACCTGATCTGGTAACAGGGCTGTTAGGAGCATTTTTAAACTCGAGAAAGGCCAGTGCAAATTATCTGATTATGGGTGATTTTTTTATTTTGAAAAATTGAATCAAAAAATCTATTTTTTTACAACAGATGTTATGATTCTGGTATAATAAAACATGTTTATACTCATTTCGTAATAACTCAATTTAACCGACTTTGTAAAGGGCTAAAATGTTTGGGACCCAAAACGTCCTGGATAATTTAGGTACGAAACGTCTCGGGCCGAAATGATGCGAAATCGTATATTAGTGGACATTATCTACGACGTAACATCTCAAACAATCATTCCAAGTAAAAAAGTATTATAAATCTAGCCATTACAGTCATTCGTAGCAAAGAGGATTTGTTCAATGATGCTATATTTTCTTATTTATTTAAATTAGCCTAAATTTACCTGTCATTATTTATCCGTTCGGATTTCCCGCTATGATCACCGGAAACTACTAATCGTCGGGCTCCGATCTTCGACGGTCTCCGGACTCAAAAGACTTCAATAATAGGAGAAAGTCGATTAATTAGTAGGTCATTATACAAATTGACTAAAGCACAACTGTAATACGAATCATGCTGAAAAAAATTACAAATTAGATCTACTGCATGCATGCACAGATATATATTCAACTCCGTGATGCATGTATATAATTAACAAAGTAAAAAAGTATCTCTACATATTCAAAGATATGAAGTAATTTGGTGCTTGTGTCTTCTTATTAAATTACTCTATTACATAAATTATGAAATACAAGGCCTTAAACTCTAAAAGGGACTGAGAGGAAAACCTATCACGTCTGCTTACTTCGAAGAACCCGGGAAAAGAGAAAGAAGAAAGCCGAGTATTCCGCATGTAGAAAAGCACGAAAAAATCATGCGTTAGGCACAATACCCCTAAATTATCAGACAAGTATCGAAGTACTTAAAGTATGAAAAATAGACGTCACAAAACCCCCCACTTTATTTTAAAAAGAGCCAACTTACCATTTATAAAATTAAAATATCCTTACTTCAAAAACAGTGTTATCCTCCCCCACAGTAAATGAATACGCCATTTATTTGAAACCCTAGATAGATTATGGCGGTCAGTTTTATCTCTGATCCTGGACTTCAAACCAGTACAAAGAGAACACCCTTCAACGCAAGCCCTGACAACTTGCTAAGCCTGCCAGGCAAGCCATCTCCTTCTTTTTTCCTTCCTCAACTCATCCTCTTCCTTATTGCCTACAAGGCAATCTTCCTAATTGCCTAACAGGCAATCTTCTTCATTGCCTAACAGGCAATCTTCTTTATTGCCTTCAAGGCAATCTTCTCCATTGCTAACAGGCAATCTTCTTTATTGCCTAACAGGCAATCTTCTTTATTGCCTAATAGGTAATCTTCATCTGCGCCTAACAGACAATCTTCATCTTTGCCTAACAGGTAATCTTCTCACTATGCCTATTATCACTTGAAAATCCTCAAAGCATTTTCCGAGGTGACCTTGAGGATGTCTAGCATATCATCCCCTCTAATCCTTGCCACTTCCTCTGCCGCAAAAACAATACTGGCAGGAGTAGAAATCTGTGATCCCCCACATGGAAAATATTGGGAAACTGTCTCGATCAAGAGACGATCACATGGCACCTCCTGGACACCATCACTTTGGGCACCTACATACTTCTTCACAAAATTAGCATAACTAAAGTATGTATTTGGAAAGTGCTTCAGATATCTCTCCACATCTGCTTTAGTTCCCGTAAAGCAATGAAGCTAAAACACAGCTGATGAGGGGATAATGCCTTTGAGGATATATAGTAGATCGACATAGGCATTGCTGCAATCTAGTGGATCCATAGACTGCCCTCTTCAATGCAATACCAGCACATGCCTCTCCTCTAGCATCTGTAAACATTGGCACAGAACATCCTTCTGTTCAGGCCAGGTTGCAGAAGGGGTTTGATAGTCAACACCCACTTCTCCTAAACCTGAGACTTCAGGCACAGTCAATAAGCTAGTTAAACGAGACAAGTTTGTCCCGGTAAGCTGAACTTACTTTGGTTGGGTGAATTCCTACCGTCACATAACAACCCTGTGCCCTCAATGCTTCAATATCCTCTGTAGAGGGGTAGCTCACCGGATCCACGAAATTTGCCACACCACAGCAACTCTGATCACTTCCTTCCTCAGCTAACAGCTGCAAGTGTTTAGGCTGTGCCATTTTGATCAATTCCCCAACATTAAGAGAATTGACCCCTAAACGTCTAGCCAAACGGTCTACATGAAAATGTGCATCAACACATTTCACCACCGTTTGCTTCTCCACCTCTCTCATACCTTCCAGGTAAACACAGACCTTGAGATTTTCAAATCCGCTATCAGCGGGCTCCTCTGCTTCTATAGCATCGACAACCACAAGATCCTCTACCACCTTTTCTTTTTGTACCTCTTCTTGGTGATGACACAGCCTGTTTACCATTGTCCTGGAGTCATCAAAGATTCTTATAAATCTATCATATAACTCCGAAGACAACAGTCTCATGACCTCCATAAAAATATGGTCATGAAACACCAGCGCAACAGAGGATAGGGGGTAGAGACATTACTTTCTTGGATGTTGACGATTTACATTCATCTCGAAATTGCACACCATCGAGTAAACATATTCGTCAATCTGCCTAAAACGGTGGTTAAACCCCACTCTTTTCATGTTCAAATAACCTGACAGGTCATTAAATGAACAACTTCGGCCTACAAGAGTGTCAGTTAGAAACCGGACTGCTCTCCTTCTTCTCCGCAGCTGAAAATCTCTTTCAGAGCCCACCGCTAGGCCTGGAGACAAATGCCTCTCTCTGATATGCAGTTCTGGGTAAGCATACTTATGCTTACACCAATCCAAGGGACATTGTTTCCTAGCCCTTATAGCATTCCTCTCTTCCCTATCTCGTCTGCTGCTACTAGAAGCAACTACTTTACCGCTAGCAGCGGTCTCTTTGCTTCTCACTCCTCCCTCTACTACTATGCCGCTAACAGCGGACCCTTCTCCCTTAACATCCCCTCCGCTAGATGCGGAAACTACAACCTCAACTATGCCGCTAACAGCGGCCCCTTCCCCTCTAATATATTTTCCGCTAGGAGCAGAAAATCCACCCTCGACTACTAATCCGCTAACAGCAGATTCTTCCAACTCCTTTGTGCCGCTATCAGCGGACTTATCACCCTCAAAATACTCAAGACTGACATCTGACATATTGTCGTCAAAGTCTAAGTCTTCAGCTCCAAATTTCAAGAGTAATTCTTCTGTTGTATCTTCCTACAAAAAATAAAAGTAAAAATAATAAACTTTAATGCCTTTCCACCTTACATTTGTCACATTTATATTTATTTATTTCAAGTGCCTCTGATGGAGAATTATTCACACATGACCCATGGTACCATTCCATACAGTAGTCGCACATTATCATGAACCTCCCCTCCCAAGGGCGTTTGCAGCTGCAATATACCTCATCGTCATCATCCACTACTTCATTACCCATCGGTGACTCCTTAAGTTTCTTAACCCAAGTTGGAAATTCTCTATCGCGACATGGTTTCAATCGATCATGATTCATTGTCAAAATGGATGTTTTCAATTTCACCCGATAAATATAAGGTGATAACTTTTTTATTATCACACCTGGTCCTTTCCACGGAGAGGATAATTTCCTACATTTTCCTTTAATACTTGCAGTATCCAAAACCAGTACTACATCACCTTCTTCATATTCTCTTGTCAGTACCTTCAAATCATAATTTCTTTTCATTCGCTTTAATGAACATTTCAAGTTAGCCCTTGCTACGTTGTGAGCTCTTTCAATTTCTTGAGTTAATTTTGCAACATAATTATCTGGACTGATATCTGTATTATGTTTCACTACAGGAAACATCGCACAGCATCCATGAGCGTTCGGTTAAATCGTTCACATTGGCCATTCGAAGCTGGCCGATAAGGTGTTGTTCTAGTTTTATGAATTTCTAAAGCTCTACATAACTCACATGGTAATTCTTTTAATTTCACTCCAACACGCTAAAATGCATCTGCATTTCCATGTTTACTGCCCGGGCGATGACGTAATATCATATTATATTGTGACAATTCCTCCATCCATCTAGCTTATTGACCCTGGGGCTCCTTGAAATTCATAAGCCAGGTTAAACTTGAATGGTCAGTTCTCAAAACAAAGCGTCTACCTAACAGATAGTACCTGTATTGTCGTGTGAACCGTACCACGGCCAAAAGCTTTCTTCTTGTCTCGCAATAATTTTGTTGTTCCGGAGTCAAAATGTAACTCCCATAGGCCACAACTTTTTCCTCTCCCTTCTGTATTTGTAGTAATTCCGCAGCTACAGCTATATTTTAAGCGTCTGTATCCAATACAAACTCATCATGATTGTTCGGTAATGCTAGGACTGGTTGACTTATTAAAGTTTTCTTTAAGACATCAAAAGCATTTTGTTGTTCTTCCTCCCATTTAAATTTGTCTTTCCCAACAATTCTATATAATGGTTCACTCAATTCGGCAAAATTTTTCACAAACATCCTGTGATAATTTACCAACCCCATAAATCTTTGAACATCTTTCGAACATTGTGGAGTTTCCCAATTTTGAAATACCTTAATGTCTTTTTCCGCCATTGAAAGTCTATCATTACTTGCAATGCGCCCAAGAAATTCGACTTCAGCTGAAAAAATATGCCTTTCTTAGGTTTTAGTTTCAGTCCATATTTTCTAAAGCGCTGTAATGCTTCTTCAAGATTTTGAAGATGATCATCAAAGGTCTTACCAAGAACTAAAATGTCATCAAGGAAAGCAAGGACTGTTTTCCAATTCAAACCTCGTAACATGAGATTCACAACGCGCGAAAAAGTTGCAGGCGCATTACATAACCCGAATCCCATACGGACATGTTCAAAAAGGCCATATTTTGTAACAAAAGCAGTTTTGTGCCTATCTTTTTCTTTCATCTTTATCTGCCAATATGCAGAATTTGCGTCCAACTTGGAAAACCAATAGTTTTCTGCAAGAGTGTCCAAACAGTTAATTGATATCTACTGCATGTACATGTACCTAAAGTTCTGATTAGTAGTTTTCACTATAAGATTAACTAGTCAGCATTAACACGATAAATTTGCTGACTATATGTAATAAGAAGAAACAATACAGCAGGGCTAAAATCACTTTAGCTATTTCTATTATATTTTAATTGATCTGTGGTGGCTATATCGGTTAGATTAGATGTAGAATCTGTTATAATTATGTCAAAACCAAAAAACAATCTCAAATGATAATATCGTTTATTAGAGCTAGCAGACTGTCACACGTTAACAATAAGAAGTCAATTACACAAATTGCATGAAACTTTCAGGAAATTATCTTTAGACCATGTAGATTTCAAAACTGAAGTGGGCCCAAAAATATCTCTGCTCATTCAAGATGGCCGCCATTTTCAAGATGGCCGCCATATAAATTTGATGTACATAATAGCTCATTCATTCCAATTTTTTGTACAGACCTGAAACTTACACCAAAGCATGCATATAGTTTCCCCTTTTCAAAAATTTAAATCTTTAAGCAATTTCTCTTGCATTTTTCTTCAGAATCCAAGATGGCGTCCAATATGGCTGCCAATTTTAATGAAAACTGATTTATCTCTTTTGCAGTATAATTTTTTGCACACGGTATGCGTATTTCCATATAAAATTGTGAAATATATTAGAAAAAAATCAAATTTTAGGTTAACCACATTGTTAGTCATGTTTTTAGTTTTTTTGTACAAAAAAAATCTTTAAAAAAAATCAAAGAAAAAGTGCCATTTTTTTCATTTTTCTCTAACATGGTTTTCTAGGTCTATGTAAAAAATTACAAAAGTTACATAGTTTCTTAAAGTGTATTTGATATTCAATCAACACTATGTTTTATTGTATAATTGTAAAAAAAAACAAACAAAAATGTGAAGGTTTTATACTTATTAAAAGTGGGTGGGGTAAATTTATCAGACAATTGTAGTACAAAATAACGTTTTTTAAGAATTCTTATGCAAATATTCACTGTAAAAGTATTTTATTGTATTAAGGTATTTTTGTTTTCCTTCAGGTCTAGAGGGTGTACTAAAATATCAATAAATGCAGATACAATCATATGTATACATTCAGTTATTAAA